TAAAGAGTGTTCTGTTTAAATATGATACATTAATACATATAGCAAAAGAACTCCTTAAACTTGACTATGTTTTGTTTCCTAGTAAAACCTTTAATGTATTCACAAACCTAGGAATTCAACAGAATCGGTGCCAGCAGAACTCCAAGCAGCCCATATTAAATTTCCAGGAGCTAACAAGTTGGGTTTCAAAATGTCAGCTTGGTGAGGAAGACTGTCCTCAGGATCTGGTCCTCTGGCAGAGTAATACATAACCTTTGGGGCAACACTGCTGTAGTTCGCTTTTAGTCCACCACAGATTCCGGCTACAGCCCCAAATTTAACAATTTTCTTTGAAACTGCATCTATTTCCAACGAAGAATTGTAGTATTGCATTAAAACCTGACCAGTTCAGAATAAAAGGGAAACTGTCAGGGTATTATTCCTCATGCACATGCAAGATAGAGACATAACACATAAGTTGACTAACATATTGGCCAAATCCATAACATCGTGTTTGCAAAGACAACAGATGTCCTTTATGGTGAAATGCAAGCCAAAGAAAAAAAGGCCAATACACATGAGCATGACATCAAGGAAGCACAAAGCCACAAACACTTCAAAATAGTAGTCCTGTGTGTGTCATATCCATGTCAGACACATTCATACCAGACTATTTGAACACTTCAAGCAGTAAATCATCATTATTTATTTTATTAATTAAACTTTTATGCCAATACAAATGAGAATGTCACTAGATAAATTATAGCATTTAATTATGAATTTGTTTGGATACAAGCTTAGACGCAATTTTTGAGAACTACTCAACTGGAAAATACCCTTTGTTTTCAGTAGAAAAGGGTATTTTCCAATAGAAAAACTCTCAAGTGTACTTCTAACTTGTATCCAAACAAACTCTATGTCTACAATGACTCATGCTCACTCACTTTTAAGGTTTTTGTTTCGTGTTCATTTTATACTAATTTATTTGCTGTATCATAGCCATATTGTGTCCAACAATAAGTTTTAAAATTTATTGTATTTCCATATTCTTGTTATGTCATCTCCATTTCCTATGCTCTCTAGTTAGTCACATGTATATGAGGGGGGAAATGGATAACGCAAAGCACCTTGGAATCATTTGTGGAAGCAATTATTATGCTAGGCATTTTCATTGGAACGGGGCTAAGCTGATAACCAATCACAAAGGGATCCATATAGAAGACAACACCAGCTGCACTAAGGTTTCTGGCTGTTTCTGAGGCCCGTTTGATGGTGGAGAGTCCCAGCACAAATCGAATTGAATAGCTACACATCAAGAGGTTCCCCTTGATCAAATCCTTATTGAACTTACTTGCATCTTGGCACTCACCAACATACATATCATCAGCAACCGTTGTGTCATTGCTCAAAGCATGATGTGCATGAATCAGTTTATAAAGTTTGCTTTCATCTGTGCCAGCTGAGGAAAATAATAATAAAAAAATGAAAAAACATGTCATAAATCAACCCCAGAAGAAATAATAATTTCATCATTAAAAATTGATTAATTTTATAACTAATGGAGGATCTTCAATCCAACTTTATTAAGCAGAAATCTAGAAACTAGAAAGCAACAAGAACTGATTGTCCACCATATAGTGAGTGACAACAGATCTTAGATTTTTTTTCTTGCTTGTGGCTCATGTCTAGCGAAAGATAATAAATTAAAAGTACTTTCTAATTGACATTACAAAAGAAAAAAAAAAAAAAAACTATTTTAGAGCTAAACTAGTAGTCATGCAGTGTAAGCAGTTTGACCGTAATTCAAGCCCCATAAAATCCCAATAACACATTGAATAGCCAACCTCCTTGGTCCTAACCAACCTTGATTTACACTATCAGTGTATCTAGCAATAATCTCCAAACTAGTGACGAAGCACACACAAAAACAAAAAATACTCCAAAAGATTAACTTTATGTTTTTCCACTGCATTTTATAAGTTAAATAAAAATTGACACCACACCCTCATTGAACCAGAGAGAAAATCAAATCATCAAAGTCCTTAACATCACCCCCTCAGGCAAGTTAGTCAAAAATAAATTCTTATATTGTTAACCAGGAATAGATAAGCAGAAACTTACGTGCAAGACCTGCCCCGGGTATGGTCACATTATTTCCAAGAAATATGGAGTTGCTATAAACTCGGTCATGAGAAGCAGCACCAACAGTATAGATCCATGGACTGAAGGAGAACATGCTTGTTGGTGATGGTCCAGTATTTCCTGCTGCTTGCACTACAAAAATACCAGCCTTCACAGCTGACAGCAATGCCATGTCTATTGGATTGAAGAACGTTGCAACACCGGGAGGACGTCTATTAGGAGTAATTGACAAGCTTATTATGTCAACCCCATCCTGAGCTGCCTGCAATAATCATACTACCATTACAGGAAAAGCAAAATTGGATGCAAATTTAGATAAATAGATTGTAAAGGCAACATGCAAGGAAAATAGGAAATCTTATTACTTACAATAACTTGACACAAAAAAATATGAGGCAAGCCATGCATAAACAGAAGAAAAAATAAAATTGAAAACCAAATGACATGGATCCTAAGAGGTGAATTAAGAATCTGAGACAGTGAAAAGTGTTCTTCACTACTACTCATGTAGGGTTCAATTGGAATTTGAGGCCAATAAACAAGCCCTTGAAAAATGATAACAGTCATATACTTGATCAAGGAATCACACTATCCTTCACTAACATATGCTAGAGGAAGGAAAACCTAAAATCAAAGACAGTTAAGGGGAAAAAATGATCTGCTCAATTTAAATTACAGTATAACTGGCATTTAAATTATTTGCACAACAATGTATCACTTGTCTAAATAAATTACAAATGTACCTGGTCAATAGCTGCAACAACATCTGCGGCAAATCCTCCAAAGCTCTTGTATAATGCCTTGTAAACAGCAATGCTGTAAAAGATTGAAAGGCATAAAATTTAAAAAAAAAAACAAAAGAAAACTAATCAAGGTTACATGAAATAATTAAAAAACAAAACTAGATCAGACACACGATTTCTTTAGTTTTCTATAAACATTCAAAAATAACCTACTAAAAAGGCCTACCTGTCTGTTGTTAGAAAACCAAGTTATGTGGAGTTGAATACTTAATACTATGGAGACAACACATTCTGTAGGATAGGGGAATGTGACGCATTGTATGTCAAATTGACAATCGATGGACTATGAGTTAATGTAGAGGGGTGAAGAGAAATGGGAGAAGGCCACATCCTTCAACAGATATCTATTTAGGTTCAGAAGCTTGGCTCTATAATTGAAGGAGCTTTGGTTCTGTTTTCAGCACAAGACAAGATAAACGGACCTGTGCATTTATTCACACTTTGTGCCCAAAGAGCTGTTGCATGATAGGCCAACATTAAAGATGTAACAGAAAATCATTATCGTGTTTTCACTTAATAGCATAAGCTTTTAAAATAGTTAAAATGACATGTTAAGATGTCCTGCATTAGCTTGGAATATGACCAAAGTATTCCTTATATGGTTTTGCAATCCTTCATCCTTTAGCTATCTTAATTGCTGAGATATGCCTAATGGACTGCTCTATGGCCTTTTCTATATCTTTAAAATTGTTTAGTAGTGATTTCAAGAACAAGAGTGTGAAAAAAAATCAGAGGATCATATGGGGACTAATTCTAGATTTCACTCTATTCCCCACTTTTGAGTTATAACAATTTTGGACCAGAACGACACAAACCATGTCAATGAAAAAAAAAAAACATTTCATTTATATAAAAAAAAATAGTATAACATCTATGGGACAATACCTACAAGCTACCAACATGCCCAGTTAAGCACTGCAGTGCAAAAAGTAATATGCACAATTTAGTACTTTTGCATGATCTGTCCCATAATCATGACACTCCAGCAGCCAGTAATTTACATATCATCATGGTAAGTTTAAAAAAAATATGGGATGAAGCAGAAAAATGCATAACTCCATGATGTCATGCATATCTATAGATCCAACAGATTACTACAAGTGTAAAAATAAAACATAGTTCCAGATTATTTACTGTGAACGAGGAGCCATCCCACTAGCATTCCCAAAGTGATGCCCAGCAACAATAACTGGAATCCCATGGTTTCCTGCTGCAACAGACGCTGTATGCCTGTGTATTTTAGTTACATCAGAACAGACATTTAGTTAGAAGTTAAAACTTAAGAGATAAGCAAAGTAACTAACAATGTTGAGATTAAAAGCAATTTGACGACAGTCTAATATGAAAACTTGAGTTCATTTTCAAGTGATATCTATAATCACTATGGGCTATTGCAATTCCAATCTTCAGAACATTCTCAGGAAAACACATTAATGACTAATGAGCTCAAGACAATACTTAATTTGTCATTGTTGAAAGAGAGAGAAAACATAAAAAAAAAAAACAAAATGAAGGTACAGTAAAATAAATTGATTGATAAATTTGCTGTAGTAGTAGTAGTAGACCAGTAGTTGTAGAAAAAGGCTGACAGCTTAGACTGTCATCATGGAGTGGCCATAGTAAAGTAGAGACTATCAAACAAAGCATATATCCCCATAAAGCAACCAATTAGTAGTTGGATGAAATGGAGTGCACGACCATGTAGCTACTACAACCAAACATAGCACCATAAGGAAAATCCAAAAACTCACGTGCCATGGCCATCACCATCAAAGGGAGAAGCATAGTCCTGAGTTGAGTTAAATATTCCTCTGGTTATGGCAGAAGCTGCAAAATGACGAGCCCCGACAAGCTTCCTATTGCAAGAACCAGATGGAAAGTCGCGAGTAACCTCACAGATGCCAGAAAAATGAGGAGGAACAGGATATGGATGTTCAGAATTATTATCACCAAAACTAGGATGTGTTGGATCTATGCCAGTATCAATAAATCCAATAACAACACCTTCTCCAGCGGTTTCAAACCCGCCATCTTGAAACCATGCTCCCTGTGGCAGACCCAAAAACTGTGGCGTATGTGTAGTCGCAGTCCTGACAGAAAAATCCAAAACCACATTGGACACTTCACCGCTCCTTGATAGCTTCTCTGCCTTCATGATTCAGCAATTTCAAAAGCTAAGAATGCGTTTACTTGCAGCAAATTAAACAAAAAAAAAAGTAGTGCTTAAACATGAAGAACACAGGTCAAGTCAAATCATTAACAGAAAGGAACAACAACACACATACATAATGCATCAAATTTTTCTTAAATAAGAGCATAACCATGAAGATGAAAACTATTATCATACCTGTTGTTGGGTAACCAGCACTGCAAATCCGTTTATCAGGTAATGGTAGCTATAGAGCTTCAGATATTTCTCTCCTTTTAACACTTTCTTCAACAAAGAATCGTGAACTCGGGAAATGTAAGAGCCATATCTCTTATCTGTCTTTGTAGTGTTGTCATACCTTCAAAACAAAAGGTAAAATTAAATAAATAGGACCACATCTGTCAAATTAATGAACCCGATTTCACAAAAATCCTCAAAATTGGGGGGCGGTAGTACTGAGAATTGAGAACATGATTATCAAATATAATGATAGTTTCAAACAAAAAACCTATCATCTATAGATGATAAGCAATCATTTAACCAATACTTTTCATCTTACCAAAAACACAGCTTCCACAAGAAGCCTCAATGATTTGGGGCCAAAATAATATTGTAAAGTTAAACATCTATAACTTAAAAAAGCACACAGCACACCATACAAAGCTATAAAGAACAACACTAAGAAAAATAAGCAAAGTATTTCTATAAAACAACAATGAAAAGCAAGACACCAAACAGCACCCCCAGCCCCAAAGAAAACCTTCAAAGTTCAAACCAAGCTTGTGTTTGCGTGAGTGTGAGGGGATACCCTTTTGGTTTGTGAAATTGAGTTCTGCCAGGAGTAGGAGCAGCATCATCTTTGAAGCCATTGACCTCTCTTCTCAACTCACCATAGTAATGAGAAACAGGAGCATGTCTCAGAGTAACAACATACACAGCAGTAGTTGCATCATCTGAATCACCTTGACACAAGCAAGGTAGCAACACCCCCAACGAAAACACCACCAAATGTACCACATTTATGTTCCCCATCATGGTTTCTAGGGACACAAAAGCACAAAACCTGAAGACCCAGTTGGATCCAAAGCCACCCCTTCAAGAATGAACAACAGCAATTCTTCACCAACCCACATGCTCCATTCTCAAGTCCAAGACTTTCCCTTTCAGTAGTTTCAGCTGGGTGAAGGAAATGAAACACCCCAAGTGAGAGACAGTGATAAAGCAAGGACCTTTTCTGTGAGAGAGAGAGTGTTTCAGTATTAATAGCTGGAGACTGAACGAGTAAGAGAATCTGCAACTGCAAGCAAAGCCTTTTCTTCTTGGGGTGTGTGAATTTGAACGTTTTGTTTATTCAAAGAAAAAAAAACCAATAGAAAATGCTGTGTGGGAATAGAATGAGAAAATGAACGTTTTATTTGGTTTTATTCGGTTTTGGACATTTTCTTTAGGTCGATGGCTGTCAATATGTATGTACATTGGAGTTTCCTGTGACATGTGTAATGACAACAACCTTGTACTTTTTTCTTCTTTTTACTTTAATTTTTTATTTTGCTGTCTTCTTCTTCTTCTTTTTTAAAGATTTTAAATACACTTTTGATAAATTTAAATATTTTTTATTTTGGCAAAGTAAAGTTTCGTTTGAGAAAATTCAAGAATAATTTACTGTCGTAATTTAATGGAAAATTAATTTTATTAATAATTACCACAGAAAGAATATACAAAAATAAATAAATAATCTGTTTTGTTTTTGTTTTTGGTAAGTAGCAAGTACTCTTGTACTCTTTTGCTTTATACATCTAACTTGTATCTAACCAACCACATCTTACTTTTATTTTATTTTATTTTATTATGCAAAAGAGGGAATATTGTAGGGAGATTTATCAAATTTCACTTATGCCAAGGAAACAATTTGACAAATATTTCTGAAGCTGCTATACAATGCCATCTGTAACATGAAAAAATATGGTCCCAACAAAATTATGGATACCATCATGAGTCGTTTAATATTTATTAAGATTGTGTGTACTGTATATTCAAATGATGCAGGAAAGAAGCAAATGTATCCTTCATAAACAAGATGATAGAATGTCAACATTAAAAAATGAGTAAGAGAAGATAAATATGTACGTGAATTTGTGCTAAAAAGAAGTTTCTGATACTGTATAAAGTCATAGATAATAAAACCATATCCATCTATATGTAAAAATGAATAAATAATAATATAAAAAAAACATTTTGTAATTCAAATTTTGTAAATTTTTACGATAATGATAATAATAATATGATTTAAACATAGAATTTCATGGTAACTATTCAAATCCCTCATTTATCCTAGTGGGTTGTGTGAATATTGCCTACATAATATTTTTCTTCTTAAAAATCTAATTCATCAACCATTTTTCTATAAGAGTCTACTTTCAGCTCGTTACATTAAAAAAAACAAAAAGGAGTTAAGTAAATAAAAACATTAAATAAAAGTGCAGCAGTATTTATTATAAAAGAATCACAAATATATGTAATACAACTTATGTAAGACTTATATATATATATATATATATATATATATATATGTATGTATATATATATATATATATATAATTTCAAACTAATTAAAAAATAATTAAATGTATTTAATTTTTACGAATTTATTTATTAAAATATACATTTTTTCTCTCATTTTCGTTTATATCAAATATTCATTTTCTACCCCAAACCAAACATAAAATAAATGTTTACGAGGTAAAAAAACGTTCTTACTTTCTGATCCTACATATGGGGAACTTTTTACTTCAAATTCGATCGATAATTTATCATTTGAAAGAGCTTTGAGCAAACATGATTCCACTAATTGAGTTGCACAGTTGGGTTGATCAGAATTGTCGGTTCCAAATTAAATTACAATAAACGGTACGCGTGTGATGAAATTGAATAGGAGGAGCCATTTTAGGATGGAGAATTAAATTTAAAACGTGGTCATAAATTTCTTTTCCATGAATAATTCATTTTCTATATATGATCAACTTACAATAGAACATGAACTTCAAAAAGAAAATAATGATTCCAAAGTAACAACTATTGATCATATAAGATTTATTAATCATACTAGGGTAAATCACGAGATATTTGTAGTTATAATATTATATATATATATATATATATATATATATATATATTGTACATTTCTCTTTCTTATAATACTAATGTACTATCTCATTATTTGTCTATACCAAAAAAAAATTCTAATTATTTGTCCCTCTATGTCTTTTGATTGCTACATTCATGGTATCCATGTGGTTTATATTGTTAACTTCCCATACTTTTAAGAGTTAATGTTCCATACATTATCAGTGTAAAGTTTTTTATACTGGTAACCAATCATATTTTTTAAAGTTGCTTATTTTATTATTATTTTATTAAATAAGCAACTGACATGATACTATTAAAAGATATGATTGGTTGTCAGTGTAAAAAAAATTTACACTAACAATATATAGGTGATTAACTCTACTTATAATTCATTAAATTACTATGTCTCTAAATTATTTACAAATTTTAAATAAACTCATAAATTATATGCTATTTTTAATTGAGTCGTTAAGCTAAAAAAGTCAGAAAGTTTTGACAAATTGAAATTTAAAAACTGTCATAAAATAATAATTTAATTTAGAATAATATATACATATATAATCAAGGACCAAATTAAAAATATATATTTTAATAATAGTAAAGAAAAGATAGTCCCTAGAAGTGAGATTTAATAATATCAATAAAAATCTCATACTTTTTCTTAAACAACAAAATAATATATTAATGTTAGGAGTGTACACAAAAAAATAAAAAAGAATAATATAAAGTGTTTTTTATTTTGATTCGTCTCAATCACAAAGATTACATCCAATTTTTTTATCAATCCGATCAAGCTTCATTATTTTTTACAAAGATATACAAATATTCTTACACAAGTCACTTTTGGCTTAATTTTAAGTATTCTTTGACTTCTCTTCAAGCAACTATCCGAATATTCTTTTGAACACAAAGTCCCTTCAAACTTCAAACAACCAAGTATTTTTTGAACACAATGTCTCCTTAGGCTTCAATTAACCAAGTATTCTTTGAATACAAAGCCTCTTCAGGCTTCAATTAACCAATTATTTTTTTACAGTCAAGTCTCTTCAAGTTCAAACAACCAAGTATATACTTTGAGCATGAAGCCTTTTCAAACTCCAATCAACTAAGTATTTCTTACAGTCAAGTCTCTCCAGGCTTAAAGCAATAACACTAAGTTAAAATTAGGTAAGATAACAATGTTGTTTCGTATTGCTATCAAGATGTGTTACAACCAAGTAAATACAAAGCTTATTGACAGAAAATAAAATTTACAATGTGTTCTCTATAATTATTTTTAATCTTCTTTTTAAAATATAAGACTTCTTTTTATAGATGTTTCTTGAAGATGACTATTACAAATCCTTAAGTATCTCTCACAAGTTTGTTTCGTTTGTCCGCATCTATGTTCCTTATGGAAAAAAGTGTTCGTTGATGTGTTAAATGTATTTTACCAAATTGTCATTTCTTATCTGATCAAGGAAGCTACTCATCATCACCTTTTAGTACCAAACGAGTGGAGGCATGCATACATCGCACCAAAGCGACTTTTTCTAAGACATTCTACTATTTATGGGATTTGCTTATTCTTTTTTTACACAAAGATATCTTTTGTTCCTTTCATTATTTATGAGCATTGAAGAAGCTTTTTCTATTCAATTTGTTAAGGAATCACATCAAAAAGATCGATTTAGTTATCAAACTTCATAAATGATAGAAAATCAAAGCGTATATTTTACGGATAAAGTATTTCGTTTGTGAAAAATTCATTTATAGATAATTATTTGTCTTATGATTTGTTCGTCTTAAGAAAATTTGTCTCTAAAAAAACATAATTTCATCTTTTAACATAATAGTAACTTATTTAGAAATTATCAAATAGTTATAATTGAAACTAAATAAATGCATGTTAGGATTAATAATGATCAATGTTTTTGGAATGTATTCAATGTTCAACTTTTTGTTAAAATTAATTAAAAATTATATAATTTTGTAAGTCATATTTATTATTTAATAATTTTTTATAAATTATAATTTTTAATATATTTTAACTAATAATCTTTTATACGTATATATAAAATTGATAAATGGGTTGATAACTTTCTTTTTTGTCTCTACACCTTTTTAAATAGTTTTACCTTTAAATCTTTAAATAATAAAGATAATATTAAAAATTAATCACTCAAATAAGTTAATTACACCTAACTACTCAAATTCTTAATTTATTACATAATCTTAATTTTATTTTAATTTAAAATTTTTAAATAAAATATAAATGTATAAAGTGTGTCAACCCCTAATACGAATAATAGAATGTTACAAAAATCAAAAGTGTGTCAAAAAGTGTTACCAACACTTCCTTGTGAGAAATGTAAACAATATATCTTTTGAACATATTATTATGCGATAAAATTTATGAAAATCATAAAATTTTCTAGATTTCATTTTTTTATTTGATTAATTTAACTCATAATTTTGTAATTTAATTTTTTTATAGTTTTAAACCATTAATAAAGAAAGTGTTAAAAATAGCATATCAAATAATGTATTGTTAGTACTCCTCTATAATATATTATTATATAAATTAATTAATTATATATTTTTACTAATTATCTTTAATTTATTTGAATTAATGATTGTTACTTAAATCTAAACATATTTCATCAATACACGAGAAATTTGTTAGTATTAAACAAAAGCTGAATCTTTCAAGTCTTTTGCGTCATCTTGTTTGGATAATATTTTTATAAACATTTATTAAAGAAGATAATTAGAAGAAAAATGGAATTAATTTATTGATAAATTTAAAAATATATAAATTAACTTGTGTATAAGTTAAATTTAATTTTTTTAAAAATATTTTATTTTTTTCTTCATCCCTCTTTCGTATTTTCTTCTTCATTTTTCTTTGTTGTTTCTTTTCTCCTAGTAGCGTTTATAAAGAAATTTGTTTAAACAAATTTGTATACACCATGTTACAAAAGATTATTAGCAAGGAAAATTAAAATGGTATACTTATATATATATATATATATATATATATATATATATATTTTGACTATGTGAACTAATTTAAACATATATAGAGATATTGGGTTGCTTTTTATTATTTTTTTTAATGATAATATGCAGATAAATTTGAAAGGAAATCTATTCATTATCTCAAATATGTTGTAAAGATTCTCA